CCAATAGTCTCTTGCCCTTATCAGATTTGACACGATATTTTCCTGACCCAATGAAACCGCTAACTTCGCCGATATATCCAATAGAGATATATCCAGTACGATTCAACCTCTCCACGGTTCACCCACATCCGATTTAAAACTGACTATTGTGACCTAATCGCGTTCAATTTAATCCCAATTCGACGTGTCCTGTCCGTACCTTCAATATCCAATCTCACGTGATCAGTCTTGACATTTCTCCAATACAATCTCTTCCGTCCCAGGCATCAGCCTTTCATCCACTTATCGGTACTTCTGCGAGGCCTTGTAACCTTAATCGGGAACAATAATACACCTAATACAATCGCATTACGATTCGTCATAAGTAAAAATAAGAAACTTCGCTAATTACGCTTAGGTCCTTGAAGAAAGAAAAAAGCATCGACATTCCAAGTCCCAAATACCACAAGGTTACCTCACAACTCATTCCCATAACGATGAGAATTAAATGCACGTATGTATATATTGCAAGACGAAAGAAATATCTCGGCAAGAAACGGACAATCGACTAACCCGGGATAATCGCAAGAAAAGCCGAGAAAAAGGAAAGAAACTAACATCCTGTAAGGTACGTGCTGGCGAGATCGTTAAGAGCGGCGTCAGGCGGTATCGACGTAATAATGGAAAAATGCAAATTAGTGTCTCACGCGACGCGAAAGTTGCATAATACGATCCCCGGCAAAGGTCAACGCGCGTAGCCTTGCGGTTTACATAAAACGTGTCTGAATCAGTCGGTGTCGGTTGGATGCCTCGCAGAAAACAGAGACGACTCGTTATTCCTTCCATACTTAAGACAGTACGGTTAGAAAGGGTTGGGCTACGTGAAACGTTTTCCTCTCCTCCTCGTTTTCATTTTCTTTTTTTAATTAGCGAACATAATCAGGGGCACGCCCGTGGAACAATGGCTCGTGAAAGCGATCCACGATGGTTTGCCGGGGCTGGAACATCGATTGGAGGTCATTAAGGGGACGCCTGATGACTTTCTTCGGGTGCAGTCATCGGTGGAGTAATGTCTCCGTTCATCGTCGCAGAACTATCTGACTCGCGTGGATCTCGGAATCGTTTCTTTGTTCCAGACGTACCATTCTTTCATTTCTCTTCAGTCGTATGGCGAGCGATGACTGTACAGGGAACTTCGAATGGTTGCATTGGTCGTTCGTCATTTCGTTGATGTTCCTCCTGGTCTCTGATGCTTCATTGTGTGTACCTCCTTTCATGAAGACGGGTCTTGTGAAACGAACTTTCTCCCAAATTTGATTTTGTGGACTCGGTATCTTCGTTGAAGTTAAATTCTGATTTTATGGTATTATATAACCAGACTTCTTTTTATTTGAGTCGTTCGCATGAAATATCGTCTCTTCAGGGTTTCAGTCCGATGAACCAATATCTTGATTACATTTAAATGTTGATCTGACAGTTCTTGCCAATGGCGTTAATCTCCTGTGATCAAGCTTTGTTTGTTTCTGAGAGAAAAAATTTTAATTAATTATAAGTCATACACGATAATTGTTACCAATAATATAATAATCATCATTGTGATCATTACCAGGTTACTAAAGTCATTTTGCCAATTTGCTACTTTTTTCTTTTCCCAATCCGTCAGTTTTATGTACATAACCTAAAAGACGTTCCATAATGAAATTACCAAAAGTGAAGCGAAAATAGTTTCTGTTTCCAAACATATCACTCTTCTTGCTTGTAAGTTTGCAAACAACGCCACAGAGAATTCCTCGTGATACATAGAACTCAAAACCGGAAGAGTGAACATATTACCAAAATGTGAAGAGGGGATATGCGTTGTTCCAGTTCCACCCTGCAGTTTTCAAAGAAACGCGAATAACAATGCTGTCCGAAGCGCTTTCTGTAGTAGGTACGCATCCTCTTGAAACGTGCATTGACCCGTACACTGTAATGGTACAAGGTTGCCATACGATTCGACATTGATAATGAAGCGCAGGTACATCGAACTAATGGTGCTACCCGTTACTTCCTGACGCACCTAAGTTCGTTTAGCGAAACGCCGCGTGGAAAGCTCGTTCAGCCACCGTGGAGAGGACATTATCGAAGCCTACTAATTTCCTACATTGTTCACACTCCTATAAAACGCACGTAGTATACACCTCGTGACCTTCAAACAGCAACTGAAAAAAATGAGCTTTGGTCATCGTGAATTTTCTGTTTTGTTACTTATGAATATTGAAATTAATTTCGAAATACTTATTTTTACTGTATTTCCTTTATTCACATTGGTCATTGTGAATTTTCTGTCTTATTACTTATGAATATGGAAATTATATTTTGAAATACTTCATTTCGATGTAATTCTCTTCTGCTAAATTTATTGTATTCCATATAGTTGCTTCTTCTATAAACTTGGTTGAGAAACACTGTTTTAATCCATTTCATTGTATTTTTTGAGTGTTTAAAAATCTGGTATAATAAGTAGGCCTCATCGTGTTTCTTAATTAAATATTCTTCTTGTCGTTCAAGCGAAACGTATGTCATCGATATATCCTGAAACAAAGTTAAATAAAAATGTGATACTCACTGGTTTGATTAATTGCTAATTTAAATCTGTCGAAGCTTGGACGTCGTTATACGTAGAAAAATGCAGTGTTTATAATTAAATGCAGTCCTTTGTGTGCGAAGCTTTAACGACAGAGAGGTTTCCCAACTAACGCGTTTAATTTATGGTCTAGTTACACTTGTGCTTCCCAGGAATACGAAGGAGTTTAATGCGACTTATTGTTCAATAATAATGCTAGGTCTTAAATTTTCCATATCTGAAAAGTTTGCTGCGAGGATTATTAGCACTAAATGTCCGATAGTGTAATACGATTGTCGTAAAAACTATGAGCGTTTAGCAATATTACCTTTTCTATTTGAGTTGTTGCACAAGGTACGATCCAGATAAACGTTGGAGCGTGAGTACAGGATAAAACGGTATTATTATATCCATTGCGTTGAATTTATGATACCCGTATGATATGGAAGATTTGCTGAGACAATTATTTCTTGGCTATTACTGCTTCGCTATCCATTTAACAATATTTTTACACGATTGTGCCCTAATGGACTCCCTCGATGCTAATAAAAAGAATTTTCTTTTATGAAAATCGATATTTATCACAGAACTTTACGAGACATATTTTACGTACACATTTTTATTCAGCTTTCTTTTATACGTTCTACTTTCCACTTATAGCTTATACGATTACACATTTTTCTAGAAAGAAACAAAGAAGGTTCCTCGTCATGTCGATTTTCAAAACATTTAAACGGATTCCATCATGGCTTTCTTTTCTTGTTTTCCGGTCGGTAAAGAAGAAAATTTACACGAGCGCGTTAGTTTATTATGTGAAAGCGATGCTTGACGCATCGATACCTCTCTCTCTCTTCCTCTCCCCTCCCTTGTTCTCTTCTACTCGTTGTCCCGATTTCAATTGTGCCTCGAACGATTTACCTATCGCGTGTAAAGAAGCACACGCCTCACCGTGACAATGGGATTTCATTAATGGCGTCACTCTTGCTTGAAGCTGATTTATCCGTTTCTCTTCCATCACGAAGCGATGTCGAGTCGAGTGAAAATGAATGTACATTATTTTATACTATTTTCCTTCGTTTACTCCTGTGCAGCGCATGAAAATTATTAGAAAACATATATATTCTTTATCCGTTTCAATAGTAATAATTTAAAATGATCATACCGTTATTGTTATTAGTATCAGTGTTATTACTATTGTCACTTATATGTTGTACTAATAATTTGAGAATACAGATGGTAAATGCAGATATATCCTGACTATATGTCAACAATGGTGTGAAACGTCTGTTGCTCTTCGAATCGACTTCATCTAGATAGCTCGCAGAATCAGGACTCGATTCATCATTTTCGATGCACAGCAGCTTCTCGCGGATAAATGTTTCAACGGTAAACAATTAAACGATAACACCAATCTCGAATGGTAACAGTAGCGGGTTTCATATCGTTCTGTTTGTATTCTTACGCAGTTATCATCGCTTTATCGGCCGCATAGCGGCGCGACGTGCGACTTCCTTTATATGTAGGGGTCGACACAGGCGCAAGCCTTTCTCGCTGCAGCGTTGATTCGTGCACGTGTGCGATGCAGCACAGATACACGCGAATCGCATCCGAAACCACCCACGTCATCTCTTTGTCTCCTGTTACTAAATTGCTCGTTTGGTATACCGCGACAAGACGCAAATGAGACGGTGTATAAATTAGAAGTGGCTGTGGCCCTTAATTAACAGAAATAAGCCCGCTCGAATGGGCATGCGCAGTGTGTTCGTATGAAATATGCGCGCGTTAATTGACACAAAGCAAACGGAGGCCTCACTGGATTAACGTAAATGTCACGGGGAGTTTTCATTTAGCGGATGAAATACCTCGCGTTAGGAGTCGTGTAATGAAGGATTAAAGGAAGCGTTGGAGGTTTCGAGGTATGGGCAAAGGAGGTTAGTTGAATCTTTTGATGAGGTGAAGTAGGAAAAATGGCGGCGTGGAATGTTTTGCAAGGAAACTGGGTGAACTGAGATACATTGAATAAATCTGTGCGATACGTACTATTTATACAAGCACTCGATCATGAGTGCGTGTATCATTGCAATGTATCGGTGTAAGATATTTCAATAAACCTTTTATTCAAAAATTACTGTCCCTACATAAATATCGCGATAATAAGTCAGACAAATATTACCATACAATACAAAAATAAACTGCGCGGTTCTTATTTTATATGTTTAAAATATCGCTTCAAAATTCCACCGACAGTATATTTTCTCTCAAAGGAGAAACGTTAATTTTTCCTCGACCTCGTATATCAGTCGAGATTTAACGTCGATAGGTTGCAACCTCATTATCATAGAAAAAAAAAAAGATTGAAAGAAAAAACATGTTTGTCCTCGGCATTGTCCTAACGTGTGCCGATATTTCATTTCAGAGTCCTGGAACGCTGCACAAAGATGTCGGTGGTGCTGGTACCAAGGTCAGCGGAAAGACGGTCGGCGGTGTTGGCACTGCAACCCTCACCACGCTCTCCTCCATTAATAATACATCCAACACCAGCCAGAACAAGAACAATCCTGTATCTCAAGAGGTAAGTCGACTGATCATGTAAGAACAGACATCTTGGACTCTCGAGTTGTATGCTTCTGTGGCAGATCGTCATGATTGAACCGTGTATCGAGCTCGACGAGTCTCTGATCAGAACTGTTACTGCAATGACGTAAAAGTATAAAATTAATCGAGTAAAAAACGAGTTCGAGATCAGGACTGGTAAAGAATGTCGTATATCAGTCAAAAGGGATTAGTCTTTTCATTTTTAATGTTAACCTCAGTCGACATTTATAAAATGGATTCATGTGTAATATAGAGTAGACTTCAATTTCCACCCAGTGGAAGATGTCTAGGAATTCATATTGGATATGGCATAGGAAAAATATAAAATTTCTTGGGCTTGCTATTTGAAGATTTGTAGAATTCAATTCATTTTTATCTGTTTATATAAAATTCTAAGTTTAAAGTGGGTTAACATAATGTAATTTAACAGTTTTTTTGAGTACTAAAAGATAAATTAAATATACATCGTCTACTAGTCAGTCTAGACTTTGAACAATGGTATTCTTTTAACAATGATACGTCTGCAATACAGTCTGGAATAGTCTAGAATAGTCAGCACACGTACAGCCTACTAAAAGCAACAGTCTCGGCTTTTTTGGCATCCTAATAATTTATTCATAGTAATCGTGACTGTACGTATACGTACAATTATTCGATGCGTGACTTATTCGATACGAGGTGCTGTGCATAGTTTGATTATAATCCTAGTGTCATTTATGGTCTCACATGATCGAGGTACACGACGGTACAATTCTGAATGCTTGATATATAATATAAGACATTATGTCAGACGATGTTATACCAAATGCGATTAGATACCTTTATGAAATACCAAGCATTATTCAATATCTTATTAAATACCAAATATTATCAGATAGTGAAAAGGCATCGTCATAATTAGATCCTTTGACACTATGTGCACAGAACACTCGAGGCTATCGATTAAGTGCAATTACCATACGCCTATAGGCATTTATGGCACGCATACGATGGATCTATTGGATAATTGTACAGTAAGGATTAAATTTATGTAAATATTCGGTAAATATTCGCGTTATTAATCGAGTTTCGCGATTTTGTAATATGAATCACTCGGGTACTGATTTCGGATATAAATCGGTGAAAGCATTGCACAACTTTCCAGCGTTCTAACTGGATGTTTTTCGTGACACAGTTTCTTCTTAAAAGCCCTCCTCCCCTCCGTACCACCCGCCCCTTTGCATTCTGCCATTCAACAATATTCGGTGGCACAAGGTGATATACGTACAAAAATAATTACCCTCGGTTCGGCTTCGTTGCCATGCACGAAATCGAGTAACTCGCCTTGACTTCGACCGTCCGCCGTCAAAAACTGGAACGAGCCAGAAGTTCGACAACTTTCGATCGATCTCATCTTATTAATAACGTCAGTTTCAACATCGAGCACGAATCGAGGTTTACCCTTCGTCTCTGTCCACGGTGCACTCCGTAATTAAGTAATATTTGCACGAAGTCAGTCTTACACTTTCTTCCTAAAAAAGAAACGAAAAGCTGTAGAGAAATCGATTAACGTGTATAAAATAAAAAACTAGGAAAAAGTTACTTCGACATTTTTGGTAAATTTTGTTTGTATATATATATACGTACGTTTATGCAGGTACTTTAGTATTTCAGCAATTCTTCTCCACGTGAGAAACCATTTTCACTGCGCAGGGCTGAATTCATCGTGTTCTCGTGATCTACGGATTTTAATATGAAAAGATTGTAATGATACATTCGCGGAAAACGTGACAGAAGTAAAACTTCTTTGTTAGAATTTGTCGATAAGATAGAGTTCCTATTACCGTCTGTTTCCAACGACGCACCACTTCCAGATCTACGAAACGAGTTCGATATCGAATTCTTTCTTCTATAATTCACGTGTATTCCTGGTAGCATTCTGACCTGTGAATCAGCATGTTTCCTTGCAATATTTCATTCGACTCGATCGACTAATCCTTCGGGGTCGCGCGTCGCTAACGATTACTTCTTTGGTGACCTCGCATGGCGAGCTATGGTTTCCAGCTTCTCTAACGTCGCTCGCATCGTGCCCCGTCACCGCCATTTGTCTCCTTTAACGTTCTCCCTCTCTGTCTTTCTCATCGTGTTTCTCCTCTTTCTTCAACCCCCTTGTCCTCTTCTTCTTTCTTTCCACGTCGTGGCGTTATTATGCGGCAAAGATGATCGAATTTCGTTGCGTCGCGCGTGTTGCGCAATTGAAGCCGACGCACGCTGCCGCCTCCTATCTCAGAACGTAATTTTCAAGCGTCGCTTTCAGACCCAACGATCGACGACGACGCCAGTGGCTGCAGACTCTGCAGAGGCACATGCGACACGCGGTGGTTGCCACTCGCAGCTCTCCGACTCTGTCTCGTTCTCTACTGTGCTCGCGCGACTATTCCCCTCTTTCTCTTCTGCTTTTTCTTTCTCGCTGTCCTTCCTCTTTTCGCTTCCGTTCTTTACCATGCGGTTTTCGTTGCTTACTTTTTGCCGCTTTTACCGACCGAGTGAATAAGCTATTTTGTAAATATCGATGGAGGGATAAATTCAGTATTTATCGTGTTGTAATTATGTGTAACAACACCTGTTACGGCGTGTAGATTGCAGTCGTATAATGGAGCGGAAGATTTCAAAATTTCGATAGCCACAAATTACTCTCGTATAAACAAGATGGCGTTGTATGTGTATACCTTGGTTAACACTATTGTATTTCGTGTAGTTTTATTTGTACGCGTCTTATGCGGTTTGTGTCGACTAGTTTATTAACGATTGCGATGTTTATTATTGAGATTTCTAAAATAACTTAGATCCGTGGAATGATAATACATAGTTATCGACCGTGTAGGGTTAAATTTCTAGACAAGAATTTCAGATAAAAAGAAACATGAATGGATACTTGAGCATAATAGCAAATCAATTTATTCTTAGATGAATAATTTTCTTTTTTCTTTTCTTCAATCCTCTCTTTATGTAATTATTTCTATATTTCGTTCTCGCATTGGCTACTTTATAAACAAAGAGAGTAAGATGCAGGGAGAGTTGGATATGTTACGTAGGTAAATATCTAGCCGGGGAACTCAGTGTGCGGTTTAATCGAAGCCCTCGAACTAATTCATACGTGAATTTAGAAAGTCCATTGCCGGGATTTGCATCTAATTGTTTCGCGGCTTGCGCAACTGCCGCGCGAAAGTCCCTATAGTGTGTTCCGTGTATCCTTCTCTCTTCCACTCGTCGTTGCTTTCGAGTGCAGGGAGAAATAGCAAAGCTCATTCGTAACAGAAAAATAAATAAGGAAGGTATATGAGTAAGATGTTGGTAGATTAGGTAACTGTGGTTAGTTTTTGATTTATTATCGTTGTTCAAGTATGAGTGCACTAATTTGTTTAACAGTTAAAGGAGTAAATTATTAAAATTAAGTATGTACATTTTTTTATTTCTTTTATTTTTTTTATATTAGATTTAAATCCATAGCAATTATACGTATAAATTATACATAAGTCTATAGCAGCACACAAAGAAATTAATACCCGTATAATATGCAAAAAATATTGGGAAAATAAAATATCAATTTAAACAAATATTTTTACGTATTGTACGAGACGAGAACTTGATCCCAGTGATGTCGATAAAAGTGGATTCAAGATTTGTCGACTAGGGCAAGTTTGCTCAGTGGTCGTGCTTTTACCTTTTCCGCGAACCCATCGTTTGATTCACGCGTACGATTTTGCTTAGCATCGAGAACTACGTGGCGTGACGATGATAAGACCACACGTTGCCCACCGCAGATTGAGCAGATTACGCCGACCATGGAGAGGGACTAATCGGAAAGTTGTCTCCTTGAAATGTCGGACTGATCCGTCATGCGATTCTCTTTTGTCTATTCGTGACCGTGTAGTTAGATTGTACTTATGTAAACGAACAAAGATATTTTGTTTCTCGAGGTAAAATAACAGGTACATTTGTAAATATATTTATACTTCGACGCTTCGTCTTCTTCGCGATTGTACTCACAGGGAAAGCCGAATGTTTCAAGGGATTTCTACCTTTACCGACTAAGCCGATCAGCAATTTTGAAAACGAAATTAACATATATACAATATTTATGCGCTTTCTACGCCGATAAAGTAGAGTTAGGCAGAATTCGAGATTTTACGAGACGTTAGCCACGATTTTACGAATTAAAAAAGAGAATCGTTTTTATTTGGTTCGCTCGAGTGCATTGGGTCTCCATTGGTATATACGTACCTTTCATAAACCGTGCAGCTGCGGAATCGGATAAATATGATTGATGCATCCGCTTTCCAAACTTTCCAAGCTCAATGAACATAGAAACTATTCGATATTTTCCTTTGCGTTATTTTATTCGTGAATCATAATCTTATAAAATAATGATAAATTGTACGGTGTTAGATCTTCGACAGTCATTTATCTTCAGATTTGTGGAATAATTATATTAGCGAAATATTATCTTCATTCAAAACTTTTAACAGATTTCTTCATTTTTTATGACTAATGACAGCGAACGTATCTAGAATATTTTATCATCCCTCATTCCGTATTTTTAGATCTATAGTCATCCCGGAAATTCCATGTTTCGAGGAAATAACATACAGCAAACAAAACAGGAAATTTTTAGTTCTGCATTTCTTTCCGCCATATTATATATTTCTTTCCTGGAAACTTGAAGAAAGTCGAGAGTCACGTATACGAGTATATTTCCACAACACTATTGAACTTATTCTACTTAACCCTCGTTAATCAGAGTATTCGATACTTGGAAGGTGAAAAATTATAATTCATTATAATTCATCACTTTGATATACGTGTGTAATTTAAGAAACAATAATTGCCATAATTACACAACAATGAATGCCATAATTGATTGCTCGATACGATGATAATAGTGATAAAGTACAAAGATACAGTGCTAAATAGAATAAATAAGATTGGAAAAAGATTGGAAAGATATACGCGGATATGTAACTTGCAGGACAGATGGCGCCACGGGAGGTTAACGTTTTCCATTACTCAAAAGGAGAAAAAACGTGATCAATTGCGGTCTAACGTGCGATTAACTCGAATCAATGACTCA